AGCACGAACCAGAGCCTGCGCAGCACTGATGAGGGGGCGGCTGAGGTGACGAAAGGGGGCGATGACATAGCACAAAGTAAAAGTAAAAAAAAAAAAACACATATGTGGCCCATTCCCGTATTTGTCGGACCGTAAACAAACCTGTCCGCTACTACTACAACTATTAGAATAGCCTACAGGGTTCACACAGATAGTGTTTTGGTCGCGAGACAGGTCAGCCGAAGTAGTATTTATTTATTTTTTTTTAAGTGCAAGGTCTATAGACGTGTTTTAGAATGATGTATTATGCACGAGAATTATGCGCGAGAAACTGCTATAAAGACCTGAGACGAGAGCGCAGCATTCAAGACGTCGAGCAGCGCATGAATGAAAAAATGCGTTCTGAGAGAATGACCCTAAAGCTACTTTGCAAATACAGATGGCAGAGTATTGAATAAAACAAAATCGCATAGCCACCAAATTCGAAAATCTGACATCCAGGAAATAAATATGTCTTAGGCAGCAGTTTTACCACAAATACAGACAAGTGATACCACCACAACCAGTGGCGCCTGCCTACACACTTTCATGAGACCGGGTTAGCCTATACAACAATTAATTTGTTGGCTATTTTACAAATGGGAACGAATTCATGACAATGTTTTACATTCAAGCTACCCGTAAAATGTATAGTGAAAAGTATTTTAAAAGCGTCTGGAATGCAATAAAGTATTTTTAAGACTGTTCTTCAAGCATTTGCTGCATGGAATAAAAAAAAATAGGCTTAATAAATAATTCACATATCAGACAAAATTGCAGTTGCAGCAAATCCTTTAAATGTTAAGGTATTCAGAACAGAGCAACATAAAAAATCTAAACATCCATCAATCAAAAAAAATTACTCGCCATCTCCTCATCAGACATGCCTTTAGAGAGAAATGCATCTTTAGGGATTACATGAAAAGAGTTTCTATTTTTTATTTAAATTATTTCGTTTTAAAGTAGTAATTTAAAGCTTTCTATATATTTTCCTTCAACTCTCTGCACAAACGATTGGATATGCGTCTAACAGCACGCATTTATCTAGGTTAAACACTTAAACTAACATTGTGATATATGCTTTAACTATTTTATATATAGATTTTATTTTAGGCAAGTCGTGATGATTTGAGAAGGCTAAATTGATAATAAAACTTTGCGTTTTTACAACACTATAAGTGTGTCCCATCAGGTAATGAAGTCTTCATGCTCACTTGAACACTTGGGCCAAATACAGGAAATACGTCATATAAGTAGTCAAGTGGTCAAGTGCAAAGACCACAAGTGTGTGTATTTAGACAAGGCATTAATAACCTCTGCCAGGTTGTTGCGTGGGCTTTGCACACGAATAAAATTTAAATTTTGTGCAAAGTTTATATATTTTATTTTTTAATCATTTTAAAAATGCATTTATTTCACCACACTTGTGCTTACCCAGACATTATATTGAGAATGCAGATTCATGTTTTTCATCTGCAGAACAATTTACAGTAGCACTACTGCTTTTGAGCAAACAGTAAAGTACCGCAAATTCCCATATACAGTAAATTACTGTAAATGGCATTAAAATACCCATAATTCAGTGCATATTACAGTAGTTAACCGTAAAACATATATATGGTAGTTTACTGGGCTTTTTTGCGGTAAGTAACTGTAAAATTACAGCAAAGTCTAACAGTGTAGGCTATGATCAACTCACTGTCTGCCGCTGGCAGCTTGGTCCTTTACTAAAAAAAAAATTTACATTTAACGAAACAAAAAAAATGCTCCAAACGTTTTTCTAAATTAACTTTATTAAAAAAACGAAACGAAATATAATCACTTTCCATTACATACAAAACTGAACTATTTTAATAGCTGAAACCGTAGTATCGCTCAGTTTGGGAGAAGGGGGGGATCCGCCCCCCCGTGGCACCGGCCCTGCTGTGGACAGGTGAGCGTGATTTAGTACAACATGTTCCTGGATCAACATCCTTGTTGATCCTGGAACATGTCTTACTTGGCAAAATCACGGCGACCGCTGTGGACAGGTGTTGTGTCTACTAAGTGTGAGATTCCTTTGGAAACATCCTTTGTGGCAACTTGTGCATTTAATAAATTTTCCTGTCAGAGCTTTAACATCCAGGGACAAATCCCAAAGCAATCTTCATCAGAGGTGTTACATTTCCACCACAGCTTGTGTTTGATGGTCCAAAGAGAGCCACTTGGCATGCATATTGATTCATCATGTATACACACACACACACACACACACACACACACACACACACACACACAGCGAGAGTACACGTGCACACATAAAAAATATTGCTTCAGAGGCAAAGCATTTAAATCTTTAACAATTTTAATCAATGGGGAAACTAAGGCACAAATTAATGCTCATACAGGTCAACCCTTATTTCACATATGTTTTTTTTATGTATATAATCATTTTCAATTGTAAATAAAATGTAGGAGAAATGTATAATATGCATTTGGAAGTATCACACACACACACACACACACACAGCGATTGAACAGTTGAGCGTTTCTCCAAAGAGTAGTGCACAGGGTGAATTCAGGTCGATGCACAAGAAACGTAATTAAAATACCATGAGAAAATGTTTATTCAGTAGTGTTTTTTTTTAATGAAATACAATACTGTTTCTGTTTCATTACCACTCATCACATTTCTCCAGTTCCAGCTTATAACATCATTCCGATGCACAAATGTCCTCAAATCCCTGTAGAACTGTTTCAGAACAGTAGGCACTTCAAGGGTTTCTAAAACATTTGTGAATATACATTTTCATAGATTTTTGTTTAAACTAACATATTATATATAATATGTAGTATATAAATAATTATATTCTATAAATTATTGTATATTAACATATACAGAGACGTCATTGACTCTAAATGGTCAGGTCTTTATAAGAAACAATGGAAATGCACATGAAAAGAAGAGTAAAAATGAGCAGATGTGATTCACGTTATTAATCACCTTCACTGTTAACAACACTGTTCGAGTCTTTGGAAGGTCAGAGACATTCAGCAGAATATGCTTGAGTCAGAACCATGGGAGAAATCTTTGCAAAAGCTGCTTCCGCATGAGGGATAATATTATGAAATAAAGAAAAATGGCCTTCATTAGGGTTCCAGTCAACAGTGAATGTTGAAAATGTGTTGATTGAGAACAGTGTGGGCGTAAAATCAGTAATACTGATGATTTTTACTGGGTAAATGATGTTAACCTGTCATAGAAGATTCATTCTTTGACTCTTACACTTGTTCATAATGAAAAAAAATCCATATCTTATTCTAATGAAAAATGTTTTCCCTTCCAAGCATCGGGTAAGTGGGAATCAAATAGTTTCATGGAAAAACAAAACGTTCTTGACCTTGATAAGTGGTTTTGTGCAATACAAACTTATATCATGGTTAAAGTAATTTTAATAATTTAAGTAAATTACTGCAGTGCTATGAATTGTGATGCTGCAGACTTTCAGCCAAGTACAGTCAAGTACAACTGATTTTTCGAAGAGACTTTAACCTGCATGATTGCTTGACATGAAAAGAGAGAGAATAAAGGAGTACAAGTATAGCGCAGTGTGTTCTTGGCTTCAGGCAAAGTAGAATTTGAACTTTCAGGGACTTGACACTGAACCAACTACATTAGAAACATGATATAAGAAAATACATTTAAACATTCTGAAAAAAATGTGTGATGATTTGATATCGGCCAGATGGAAATACAAACATTCATTTTGACTGAAGAACATAATGGCACAATCCAAGGGAGAAAAACCCTTTACAAAAATGATGAGATGAAAATTAAGTTACTGATAAAGTCCACACTGAGATAAGTTACTGAAATGTAATCAGTGGAAAATTAAAGGTATCAGATGTAACCCAGGATTTACTGTACATCCCGGAATTGTCTTGTTCTTTAATAAAGCGTACCTCTACTGTTACAAACTAGTCAATGACTAAAACCTGTGAGCAATGATTTACCTTCATACACTGACAACAACTGGTTTCAAAAACCATAGAGAAACAATCGTTGACGTTTTTGATCCCAAAAAAAAGAAAATACAAGCCCCGGTTGGCTTTCCGAAGCAAAATTACTTTTTGTTACATTTTTAAATAAGTAAAGGTTCCCCCGTAAAAATGTGTCCCCCTTGATGTGCTACCGATCCACCATTACTCTTGGAGAGGAGTTGGTTGTCATAAAAATGTTACTGTTGGCAATGATTGGTCATTCAGGCGTAGAACTCTTTACTCGGAGCCTTCTGATAGGCTGAGCTGGGAGGCTTGCGCTCTCCAAGGTCGTAGCTCCCCTCGTCCTTCTTTCTCATACGGTAAACCAGAAGGAGGATGAGGAAGATGGCAAACAGGAAGCCAATCACTCCGCCGGCTATAACAGCTGCACCAAGAAAAAGGACACCGTGTCAAAAAATTTCTATTGTTTAAAATAATATCTAAAACCATATTCAAGTACACATCATATTCAAATGCTTCGACAAAAACTCAAGAGATGCAAATAGAATGAATCAAAATATCAGTGAAATGTGACACAGAGACAACAATGGTTTGTCAGCTTACAGAATTTATTAAAATGGATGAAGGGTGATACTAAAATCATGGGTACTTTTGACTACTTCAGAGGTGAAAAATCTATTTGATCTATTATACTATTCTAATCTGTTATTCTATTTGACATTAAAAAAATACTCTTATTTTTTTTACTGACATTTTTCAATGTGTTTGGCAAAAAAAATTAAAAATAAAAATAAATAAAAATAATAAATCATGGATAAGCCTTGAACTTTCTAACACAACAAGTCAACTAGCAGTCCATTAAAAAATAAATAAAAAGAAACCAATTATTTACCAAATTGGCCAATATTTATGAATTTTAATTATGTGAAATTTTTCAGTGAATTATATTTCTAGTCTTTAAACTGGCACTCTGCAATATGCACCTCATCACTTCTCATTTCCATCATAACCAAATGTAAACTTATTTTGAAAAAACCCAATTATTCTGTAAAATGCATGGCATGATTTATTTTATTTATTTTTTTGTTAAAAATTGTGAAATTCTACACATAAATGCTAAATATATATAAAAAAATACTTAATACTAAAACTTGTTTTAAGGTCTAAGACAAATGTACAAAGTAGAATTTTCTTGATTTTGAGATATTTTATAAGGTCTGGACCAAGGACGAGCCTAAAATAGAGACCCTAAAGCAAATTAACATTTAAATAGCCCACAAAATGAAAATGCGTTTAAAGAGACAAATAAAAAATTTAATAATTGTGAAAATTTCAATAATTAAATTATTAAAGCATTTAAAAAAAAAAAATCTTAATAGGTGACTAAAATGTTCCCCTAATTGAAGAATCACTCTTGTTTGTTGTTTATTTTGAACATACCTGCCAGCACTTCTGTCCTTTGGAAGAGATTTTCTGTGCGAACCTCATGAAGCGGGTCAGCGTCTTGTACAACACTCGGTGAGCTGGTGGATTCAACGGTGACCTGGGGCTTTTCTGTCTGATAGTCAGAGATCTAAAAAACAGCGAGAGAAAGACAGCTTAGCATCCAAACTGCTGACACAAAAAAACAGTCCAGCTTGTAGATAGTGTCGGAAAGAGTGAAGAGATTCAATAACAAGATTGAAGGATCCAGTAAAACTGTGAGAGACAGCAGGTCAGTGTAAGCGTCAAAAAGGGGCAATATCAAAAGTATCACAAGTTGTCACAGTTTTGCAGGCTGTGCAGGTTTTCGGAGCAGTGGGAGTCAGCAAAAGCTTTTATAGTGTCAGAACCAGTATGACTGAAATGGGTGAGCAATCGCACCTCTGGTCCGAAGTCTGAATCAATGAATGTGTCTGTGCTGATGGAGGACTCCAAGCTAGGGCTGCTGCTGTAGACGGGCTCCTGAGTAGAATCTGCTTTGAATTCTGGGTACCGCACAATTACCGTGGAAGTGTCTTCGTCATCATCTGTGTCACTAGAACCTAAAGAGATGCATGAGAAATAAAAAAAATGAGATGAGAATCAAACAAAAGAAAGTTTTCCTAATATTTCATGCATTTTATTGGCAGAGCAGTGTCTGTCCACATATCACTCAGCTTGTCTTTTTTTTTGTGTGGGGATTTTTAATTTACTCTTTCTGCGGGCTACACTTAAATGCCATTAGGTGGCGACAAGTGACTCTCTTTAGAATCATTTACTTAACTGACTAGGGCTACGTTCCTCTTCGTCTTTTTATGACGTTCTCTCGCTAACTTCCCTACGTCTCGTTGACTAGGAAATACGTCATTGATTACACTGTACGGGTGCCCACTAGGCTTGCTGCGATAGATGGTGTTTTCGGTTATTATGTTAAGCCGCAACACCGGTTACGTCATTTGCCTACCCCCACCGTCGTTTAGATTTTTTTATAGTAACAAAAATCATTTAGCCTAGTTCAGTTAGAGGACAGACACTTTTAAAAACTAAACGCTCAATGCAGCGTGCCGAACCGTGCGCGAACGACAGTGCACCATGAAACAGGAATCAGATTTTATTTATCACGTGAGGAGAGTGAGTCGAGCTGACTGACAAGAGTGAGGTGAGAAAGACAAGACGATGGCAGAAGATTGTTTAGAAAGGAAATGCAAAGGCGCCTGTTTGGCAATATTTTAGATTTTGAAAAGCCTATTGACTGGAAGTTTTTTTTTTTAAACATTCGTTTCTTATTTATTTGGTTCCATAGTGTTTGATGATTACTTTATTTAAACTTTGTGTATTTTATTTATTTTATTTTACATCAAGGTGTATATGCCGTGCCTCTAAGCTTTCTTATTCGTTTTGCTAATATAAACGTTCTATGTTTCTTATTTATTTGGTTCTACAGTGTTTGCTGATTTTATACCTATTTAAACTTTGTGTAGCCTAAGTAATTTGTTATTTTATTAGGCATAGGCCTATATGGTGTATTTTTATTCGCTTTGTTAACCCCCACCCCAACGGTGATACCTCGTTGTCACTCGTCAATTAACCGGTGGGAAAATTTCCTCACCGTCACAACCCTAGTGCCCACTACTTGGCAGAACCCTTGCAATGGGCTGAATTGGAGCGTCCCCTTGATCATCTGGAATCCACTATGGAGTTGATTAATTATTTAAATTTTTTCCTTGTATGCAGCATTCTATATGTATACGGATATGCTTGGGCTGTTTAAAAAAAACTAAATCATATATCATAGAGTTTTTTTGGGGTGGGAGTAAATTAAGCGCGATCTGTGGTGACATCACAATCGAGTTGCATTGTGGTATATGGAGCGGCCTGAAGTGTACAGTACATGTGAAGTAGACTTGCTCCTTCTGTCAAAATCGAGGGGTCGAGGGCCTGTTCACATAAACTTCCCTCGTCCACTTCATGAATTGGAACGCACTTCAAAATGGCAGAAGTCTAAAAGTGAAGTGGAACATCATTCATGAACTAAGTTACTGTCTTCATGAGAGTCACTGAATAATTTACTTAACTGTTTCATTCAGAATGGAAACTATTGTCTATTGCTCTGGGATGCACAAGTGTTAATTCCGATGGGGCTTAATTTGGCACTATTTTCATTGGCAGAGCAAAAAGTCACTGGCAATACTGTGTACAACCGTGCTTATTTTCGACAGCACTTTTACTTGTATGATGTTGCTTAAATATTGCATAGGCCTATATCTTATGTGGTATCTTTAGCTTTGTCTGGACGTTTTAAACACAAGGACAGTTTTTATGTTGATACCCATTCACACAGAATGTGTTTTTGTGTTCCTCTGTGCTGATTTTACATTCACTAGACGAACATGTTTGACCGCTGTGGTTGCACATATTTTGCAGCAACCACATTAAAAACAGTACTTTAAAAAAAAAAGCATCTCTAGATTTTGCGTTATATTTCACAACCCTGCATCTTTCTTTTTTAAATGCAAAAATGCATTCTGTTTGAATGGCACCTAGCAACATATTTAGTAAACCTGAAACCAGCCTGATCATACAGGGTTCTCTCGAAATGACTATGCAACTAGTCATTTGTAAGTCAATTTTAAAAAATGAGTTTTGCACGTCTATGACGTTATGGTCTGATGGGACTATAATGGCCTGAGCTCTAGTTTAAATGTTCCAAACTTCTCTCTTTCTTGGAATTTCAGTTCTGTATAAATATAACCATACAGAATGGGAATGCAAGATCAGCACAATTGTGCTTAAAGTGTTTCCGAGAGAGACAGATGAAATATATAAAATTTATAAATATTTCAACCATACTCTCCATTTTGCACTGTAATTGTGCCAGGTACAAGGCACTGTGGTACAGCAGTAAGAGGTAGAGAAATGACTTATTAATAATGCAGAGTTTCTGTATGGAGCAGACATCTGCTGAGTGACCATGGTGGTCTTGGCTGACCGCGTTTGACTGCAGGTGAAACATCTGTCTGCTCACAGGGTGGGCAGCATTGTCTAGCAACCACCTAGCAGCCCTTCTATTAACAACACATCACACAACCTTTAGACACAACAACACTGGCTCTGTGGGTTGATTATAAATACTTAATTAATTATTTTCTAGTCCATAACTTAATAGGTGACGAGGTGATGAGGTGCTCTACTAGAAGTCCATAACTCAATGCTACACTAGTAAGTTGACATAGTTGAATAATAACAGTTCTGTTCATGGAAATGACATACCGTGAGCCTCAAACACTATCTCGAAAGTGAAAGTAAAAAGCGATCGTGCTTTCAAATATATTAATAGCGGCTCCCTGATGCCCGCATTTTATATACAGTATAATTACCCAATGATATAACTGCGTTAATATAAGTATTGAAATATATATTTTCCCTGTGTTTCCTTCATGCTGTGTGAGCTACTGAAATGAGCCGCACTGTGAAACAGCCAATCAGAGCAGAGCTCAACATTATTATTCATGACCCTTCCAAATAAGGTAAAAACAGACCATTTCATTCTAGGGACAAATCCTAGGGTTGTAAATGGACATGTAAAACCGTTTCTGGAGATTTTTTACCCTTACCTAAGCCACATACCTTCTATGTAGATATCAGAGAACAATTTAAAATATTGTATCAATGCATTCTATGGCACCTTTAATAATTATAGAATAAACATTACTACTCTACCTAGACTAGACTTTTAGTTTTTTTAATGAGGTGTTACTCGCTGGCACAATGCAAGGGTGTTCTAAGTGGTTGCCAGGACATTTCTATGCATTTGCTAAGGTTTTGATTGGATTGCCTACAGATGGCTACTTCCCGGACCAAGTCAAAATAGCCATTCCATGGGTTTCGATAGCCCTGTTACAAATGGCACATTTAGTGTGTACTTGTGAACTTGAGGTGTTATCGGTTGCATGCTAGTGTCCAGTGAGTCTTTTTTTTTAATTCATGATATCGCATTTGTCATTTTAGGTTTCAGAAGGGTCCAAAGCAGACTACTACCCTACATTAGTGCCATTTTGTCTTCAAAGTGTGGACTTTGAGGAGGAACACAAGGCCTTAGGCCAGCATGGTTCAGGGTTTTTGTAGGTCTGATGATCTGGGCTGCTTTGCCAATCATTTTGAGACTAAGTTGTTTGTAGAGACCATTTCCACCCCAGTGTTAGGGTTTTGTTGAATAATAATCATAATATCATAATCGTAGTCTCAGGAGATGCCTCAGAATAGTGATAGTAACTTACCAGATCCTGAACCAGAAGTGAAGTCATCATCATCTAAAGGATAGTCACCAGACTGCTGGTCATCCAAATAGATGTCATCAGTTGAGGCAGGGGACTGACCGGAGACCAGTACCTGCACAGGTAAACACAAGCAGAACATTCAGAGCCAAAACGTCCAATTTAATCACAAAAGTATCTGAAAATAGAATGCTTGAAACTTGCTTGAAAGAAAAATGTTTAGTCATTCCCATACATATGAAATGATCTCAAAGAAACCTTCACAGTTACAAAAAAAAAGGTACACCACTTAAGTACCATTAACATATCAAATAAAACCTTTTTTTTCCATTTCTAAACAACACAGAAGACAATCTTGGCTGATTTTGCTTTATGCTGAAGACATAAACAACAAAAACGCCTGCCCAAGGTTCCTCCCACTTCTGTTTCCCTGGAAACAACCTCAAAGGAAAGTAATGTTTGATTCTCTTCCTCAGGAGAAAACTCTCTGAAAGTAGGGCTGCCCGATTATGACCAAAATCATAATTGTCGATTATTCCCTTGAAATTGTAATTGCGATTATTAATTACGATTATCACAATTTACATTGAATGATGTTTACACCATTGTTTTATGCAACTGCATGCCGTATTTTTATATGAAAATAAACAAGCTGAAAACACTCTATCTGAGAAACCTTTAGTGCTTTTCTATTGTATTAAGCCTCAAATGTCAACTATAAATCGGATTGGTTTGTTCTTTAAATTATAAAAAAGTAAAAATATAACTAAAATTTAAATAATGGGAAAAACCCTTAAGATAACATGTAGAAAGAAAAAAACATATCTTAAAATCGCGATTAGAAATTCGATTAATTGTGCAGCCCTATCTGAAAGCTCTCTGACCCACTAAAACAGCGCTAAAAACCAATCTAAAAGTCAGCATATGTCATTTCTCTACACATTGTGGAGGTTACAAAAGGTTTATCACTCTGAAGTAATACTTTAAGGTTAAGGGGGGTGCAAAAGGGACAGACACGGTCTAGCAAACAAATGCAAGAGGCTATCATTGTTGTCAAGAGAGAAGGGCAGATGGACCACTGTCTATTTGCAAAACCTATGACCCTTTATTTCTCGCTGTGTTGGTATCACATCCTCTAGTGTCCTTGTCATCTCCCACAGACTTCACCACTCATGCTCGCTCGGGCTCAGCCGTCTCTGATCTTTTCCATCTATATTAACCCCTCAGCAAATCACAATGCACCACCAACAGGACCAGTCACAATAACAGCAGGCCACGCTTTGTGCACCTATGTGTGATTGTATTTCTTATATTGTAGAGGGCAAACAATGAATTGAAGCACTAATATTGTCTGTATATGTGTGTGTATTTGATTAAAGTCTACAAGAGCGCCAATGGATTCGACAATGAGATTGGATAATACTCCAAGCACCTTTGTGTGTAATCCGAATCCTCCTATTCACCCGGATGATAAATAATGGCACTCAGGTGATAAGGTTCAATTTTATAGCGGTTACTCATGCAGGATAAAAACCCAGAAAGAACGAAGAGGTTGGATTCAAAGCCTGTACAATAACAGGAGGCTGGAGCGGGTGCTGTTTTCAGAGGCACTGAGGGGGAGATTAAACGGGACTTGAAAGCCAATGAAAGACTAAATAAAGCCATAGAAGAGCCAGAGCCTATGATCAGCCTGTGATCAGCCGAGGGTCCTGTTCGGGGCATCTCAAACATACATCAGCCTCTGTTTGACTCTTCACATTTTTCATAGTCTCCTCACAAAGCAAAGGCTTGCATTAGGCATCATCGCTCACCGTGACAGAGAACACACAGGAAGACGGGATACAAAAACCCTGTTTAACCTCGACAGCTTACAATAACTGAACTTGAGTGACATAAGGGCTGTGTGTGAAACCTAAGGCAGCTGTCCAGACAGTCAATGACTAAACAGCCAGTGTATGTGTATGAAGGTTTCTAAGCAAATTGCTTTCAGACAGACTTCAAAAGCAACGTAATGTCATCTCAGTGATCTAGCACAAATTTATGTGAGCTTTAGACATATCTGCAAATATTTAACAACTACAATGCTTTTGTCCAGGAAAGTTTAAAAAAGAGAAAAACAAAAATCTGCTTTTTTTTCTCTTTTTTTTGTAGACAGGAAGCACAAACAGTGGATCTGAATGTGCCTTGATGTCTTCCTGCTCAGTAAAAAGTGTAGGACAGGCCGTAAGGAGCTACAGTATTTCTACCTGATCCAGATAATTCACTCAAAATGAAAACTCTCTCATCATTTACACAAAAGAAACATTTTAAAGAATGCAGAAAACCAAGCAACATTGGACCCCATTGACTTCTATTGTATGGACAAGAAAAATTACATTTCTCAAAATATCTTGCTTTAAGTTCCACAGAAGAAAGAAAGTAAGCTTTGAAATGACATGAGGGTGAGCAAAAGATGACCGAATTTTCTTTTTTTTTGGTGAACTATTCCTTTAGGAGCTATTTTTTCCTGATATGACCTTTAAAAACTACGTCTGTTGATGTACCTTAATGTTGTCATTTGAATCAATTATATGAATCATATTCCAGTTCATTCAGATGTTACCACAAAAGCACATTTTTTTCCTTTTCCTTTTCACTTTCTCTTACTCGTTCTCTCTCTTTATTCCACATTTAGAACTTAATATTAAACATGGTAAGTTATAGCTTGTCTGAAAGTCACTGCCATGTGAACCAAAGTGGAATGCGAACCAATGAAGTTTCAACTTTAAGTTGGCATTAAATGCAATGTTTCTTATTGATTGACCTATATCTGACCAATAACCAATGTTTATAGAACCGAGTCCCCACCAAACACTCACTCTTAAAAATAAAGGTTCTTTATTGGCATCTATTGTTCCATGAACGTTTAATATCCATGGAACCTTTCCATTGCAAGTTCTTCATAGTGGAAAAAGGTTCTTTAGATTATTAAAATGTTCTTCACACCAATAATAATAATAATTTTAAAAAAAAGGTTTTACTAAGGCATCTGTGTGAAAAACTTTAGAATCACTTTTGGAGCCTTTATTTTAAAAAATCAGTTTCAATTGAATGTACACCACAATATGGAAGATACTTTGTTACTTCCGTTATATTTCGACTTTAACTATAAGCAATAACACTAGTCATGCCTATTTTAGCTAATAACACTAAATATCTAAATACAATGGCTCACACTTTATTTTAAGGTCCAATTCTCGCTATTAACAAAACATTAACTATGACTTTTGCCTCCAATATACTCCTAATTTGCTGCTTATTAATAGTTAGTAAAGTAGTTGTTAAGTTTAGGTATTTGGTAGGATTAGGAATGTAGAATATGGTCATGCAGAATATGTGTTTTATAAGTACTAATAAACAGCCAATATGTTAATAATAGTCATAACTAGTTAATAGTGAGAATTGGTTCCTACTGAAGTGTTACCAATACGATACATGTATAGAATGTACAAAAGTATAATTGCCAGAGCAACATTTGTCTCATAACAATAGCACATTTATATTTTTTAAAGGTCAAACTCAACCACCAGTATCAAATCCTAAAATAGTTCCGGCATACATTTTTCCTCGTTTTTCTATCATATGAAAGTGAGAGTCTCTGTTGCTTAATCCGTCTTCCAGCGAGAACGATTTTGATCCCTGCGATTTTCACACCCCTGTGTTTCACGAAAACTGGCTTTAATGAATGGCTAAAGTGATTTAGGAAGGTCTCTAGAAATTCCTGGCGTTTAATAGCATGGGAATGCTCGGAAGAGCTTCAGTCAAAATTGCTAACGGGATGAAAGGACTAAAAAGTCACGAACTGAAAGAAACTACTGCAGGTGGAGCAGGCAGATCTCAGATTTCAGGCTGAAGTCACTGTATTTTCTTTACTTTGAGGACGGCCATGAAAGAGTGAGAGAGACGTAAGTGAGGAAAAGAGAAGGAGTGAGCGAGTGAGGTTAAGAGTGTGTTGGATAATATCGCTCATTCCAAAACAAACTCCTGAAAGCCATATGAAGGTGAGAGCCGCATTCCTGAGTTCCCGGACTGCAACACAAGTGCTGTATTGTGCGAGGGTCTGAGTTCCTCTCTTTCAGTCCGTGCCAATGATACAGCTGGACAGGAAACTCTGAAACTCATAACCAGCTCACTCTTCTCACTCAAACAGCCTTGCCAAGCAGCCAAGCACACCGTGTCTCTCTCTCTCTCTCAGCACACCGTCACCAACTCATATGTTACACACAGTGTACTGCCAGCTGTACGCAGCTGCCAAGTCGCAGAATTGAAAGCAGAGAGAAAGTACTGACACATATGCTGGATTTGGCAAACAGAGGTCTAAAATACATAAAAGGAAAACATTTACTGCTGACTGAAATTGAGGTGAATAATTCAAAGACAGGAAGCAACGAGGCCAAGAAATTAGAATGCTGTCTGTGCCAGCATTAAAATGTCTACATCTATATTGTAATTTAGTATCATTTTAATATGATTTCATTTGCCCTTCACATAGAGAATGACAGTGATAGAAGCTAAATGCTAGTGGCAGTTCTCCAGGTGGCTCTGTCTGTTTCCACACCCTGTGAAAACTCGATTAATTAAGTCTAGTCAGGCTTCCCTCAGACACTTACCACAAGAGAGACAGTGCAAAATACACAATTCCATGGACATACTCAGTCTGGACAACAACAAAAAAAGCAGCTCTTTCTGTTTGTCTAAATCGCTAATGTTAGTCTTAACAGTAAAAATGTAGGCCTAAATCTGCTGTGAAGTCATAAAAAACAGACAACCTACAATTGTCAGTGTAGCTGCTTCCCCGTACTGTACTTCCATAATATATCAGATGATATAATAATAACATTATCTTTGCATTTTAAATACATGTAAAGACCCCGTTATACCTCAAGCAAAAAGAAAAAGGAACTGGTGTGACATAATTTAAAACAAAATTTGAAACATCTTGCCAAAGCGGAAAAGTTTCTAGGAAAAGTTTGCTGGAGAGCTGCTTTATAGAAACTGAAGTTGTAATTCTAATTGAAAACAACACAGACATTATTTTTTCATGCTTAATACTGTAAAGCTGCTTTTAAAGCAATC